TAAAATATGTTTAATATATTTAATATTTATTTTAATTAATATTTTATATTTTTTAGAATAGTAAAAAATTAGAAAGAAAGAAAAAGTTTAAGCGCCAAAAGCGTTCTCAAACCAAGTCACATATCAAAAATATTTTCTATCATTCGAACCATTTTTTATGAATTAGTATATTTAAAATTATTAATTATCAAAATAAATATTTTGAGAGGTATTTATAGTTAATTATTTTAACAGAAATTTATAATTTAAAAATAAATCTACAGAAATTAATCCAGACGAACGGTATAAAACACCACTTGAAATCTAGTTAAAATAACAACTCCTGTATGAAGTACTTTGCAGTCAATCTAGTATGGTGGTGGTGCCACAAAAAAAAAAAGAAAAAAGAAAAAAAGAAAAAAGTTGTATGATGGTGGTCGGTAAAAAAGGAAAAAATCTATCATATCAATTTTTAGATTCTCAAGGATTGAAGCTGAAATTTATTGTTGGATATCCAATTACGGTTTTCAGTGAATTGGGTACTCATCTTGCATCCTTGTAATTGGCATTGAGTAATTGACTAATTAGTACCTATTTTATTTGCATATATATGATTATTTTTGAACAACACAGGCTCTCTTTCCTAAAGCGAGACAAAGCTTTGAGAAGAAGACAATGGTGTTCTCTATTCCTGAAAATGTCCTGAAGCTTTGGGATGCATGGAATGTCAGAGCGTTTATCATCCTAAGCCTCCTGGCGCAAGTTTTCTTGACTCTCTTTGCACCATTAAGAAAATGCCTAGGGGGAAAATGGGGAAAATGTGTTCGCATGTTGATCTGGTTGGCATACTTGCTCGCAGACTGGATTGCGGGGCTCACCGTTGGGTCCATCTTAAGCAACCAGATGAAAAGTCCTGCCAATAGTGGTGACATCCAGGCCTTTTGGGCACCCTTTTTACTGTTACACCTTGGTGGCCCCGATGCTATAACGTCCTTTGCCTTGGAGGACAATGAGTTCTGGGTAAGGCATCTGCTTGGGCTCATATTACAAGTTGGTTCTACACTCTACGTCTTCCTTTTGTCCCTCCCAGACAACAAGCTTTGGCTCTCAACCCTCTTAGTGTTAATTGCTAGCGTAATCAAATATGCAGAGCGGAACCGTGCTTTTTATCTAGCAAGCTTTGATAATTTTGGTGAAAATTGGGTGCCTGGAGAAAGGGTAGCTGGACTCCATATTCCAAAACAATTCAAAAAGTTGGAAACTGCAGATCCCGTGCCTTATGGATTGGAAGATGATGACATCGAGCCATTTTATGTTAATCCCGATGCCAGATCATTTTATGAGCCTTCCGAATTTTTTGTTGGTTCCGATCCCAAGTCTATAGTACAAGCTGCAGCTTACTTGTTTGGAACTATCAGGAGACCTTTTCTTGGCTCTTCTTTATCTAAATATCAACGTTTAAAAGGCTTTGCAAACTTTGGAAGCAAAAATAAGGATTGTTTTGCAGAAGATGCGCTCCTAAAGATAGAAATTCAGCTAAGCCTATTGTATGAGACTCTCCACACCAAGTTACCAGTGATTGTGTCCAAGGCTGGGTGCATCAGTCGCATCTTGAACTTGAGTTGCATCTTGGGAGCCTTGTTGTCATTCTCATTAGTTAAGAAGCATTACGAGTTGGAGGAGTTTGATACCTGGCTATCCTATGGGTTGTTGATCGGGGCCTTGGCTTTGGATTTCATATCTATCATTTTACTTGTGTTCTCCGACTGGTTTCTTATTGCTAACTTCCATAATTCGGGATGCTTCAGTAACTTGGGATCCAGATTGAAGGAGCGCAGGTGGTCTAACAAAGTTCCTCAATTAAATTTTATTACTTATAGTGTTAAGGACCATCCAAATTGGTTGAATTCATTGGCTACTTTTCTTCCCTTGAGGAGTTTGTTAGAGGCCATGAAAGTAATTCGATGTCTGTCCTTCCAAAATCTTGGAGAAGACCCACAGTACTGGCGTTGTATTTTTGGGGATGTGCAGGACGTTATTCAGCGAGTAGACCTAGAAGTTGATGAAGCAGATTTTGCACAAAATCTTTTAGACTTTCATATAGCCACAGAATTATCCATCCATGGAGATTTCCAAGGGTCTTCATCTGGGAGCACAGAAAAAGACAGAACAATTTGCAAGCTAATTTCGGATTATATGTTTTACCTCATGATGATGGAGCCTGCTATGATGTCGGTTGTT